GGCTGGAGAGGCGGCCCGTCAGTCCGTCAGCCCTGGCTCTGAGTGCTGCAGCTGGCTGAGCCTGTTACCCATTCCAGGATAGGTGCTGGGAGGGGCACGAGGCAGGTTCAGAAGAGAAATACTCAATCTGCCTTCTGCTCACAGCCACACCCACGACGGATCGGCGCATGTGAGCGAGTGGAGTGTAACTCAGGTGCGAACCAATGGGCAGAATGAGGGTGAGGAGGGCAGAGCTTTCATTCGCTGAGGCTTCTGGGAAAGGACTGGACAGAGAGGAGGTAGCTCGGTGCCAGTGTTGACCGTGGCAGACACGAATGTGGGGAGAGGACCCGAGAGAAGGAGTGCTGCATCTGGGAGCAAGGCCTGAGTGATGGCAGCGTCCTGGGGTGTGGAGAGAGGCGCTCGGGAGTATGAATGGCATTGGAGGGAAATGGGAAGATGTCAGGCTTCGGATGATTTCAGTCTGCTCTGATGGGTGATGTGATCTGGTAGGTGGAGAGGAGACACCTGGGTTCACATCCTCTTGCCACCCTTAGCCAAGGTGCCAAATTTTCCATCTCCATGGATCTCAGTTTGCTTATCTTTATAATGTACATAATAGCAGTATACCTTTTTTAAAAAAAATTCATTTTATTTATTAATTACTAAATTTGACTGGAGAGAGAAAGAGAGGGAATGAGAAAGCAAGCTACCAGGTCTAGGACTCGAACTGTGGTTGGCCATGTGGGAGTCCGGCACTCTAACCACCATGCCTCCTGCTGGCCCCAGCAGGATACCTTTGAGGGTCAGTGGTTGTCCTGTGAAATACCTGGGTGTTGGCTATAGCAGTCATTACTGTGAGGCGGTGGTAGCACATGTGTGTACTTTCAAAGCCTTCCTGTCTTAGGAAGGAGCTTGCACTATCTCATGGGCTCACCACGTTTTGTGCAAAAGGGAGAGGTTGTAAACAGTCTAGTTAAAGGGAGTGGGATGGGGGTGAGATTCGGAGATACTAATATTTAACACTTATTTAGTGTCCATTATAGCTAAGGCCTTTGGTTAATTTCTGGGGACACTAAATTGAACTATTCAGTCAGCGATTACAAATTTACTGTAGTTTACATGTTTAAAATGGTTGCCGACACAAAACCATAAGTTATTGAAATTTAAGATAACCAGCCTCTCAATCTGTGGTCACTTTGGAGAAGCAGGCCTGAGTGTGAACAGGTGTCCCCCAGCCAGCTGTGTCCCAGGAACAGTCACTGATAAAGCTCGCCATGCTGGAGTGCTGTCAGGGACCCCTGGGACCATGGATCTTCCAAAACCAAGTTGGAAACATTTTCCCGATAAGGTTACTAAAATGCAGGTCAAGGGGGCCAGCAGGTGGCGTGGTGGTTAAGGCGCTGGACTCTCACATGGCTGATGTGGTGTGAGTCCTGGATCCAGTGGCTTGAAAGTCATACCAGGCACACGTGTGTGCATGCCCAGAGTCCTGAGAGGAGAGGGGAGAAGGAACTGCAGCATGGCCATCCCCCTGGGGATGATTTCTCACGTTCCCTCTCTCTGTTTCTGGTGGGCACACATACCTATGACAAAAACAAAGCAAAACACTGGCCATCACCTGTCCCGAGTGGGGGTCAGAGTCGACCTGAAGTGTGTCTCTGAAGTGAGAACTCACTGTTGAGACAGGTCGATGAAGACCAGGCCTGCGATTGTGGACGCTCATGGTGGACGGATTTCTCCAGGATGGCCGCTGCTGAGCTTCATTCAGCAGAGGGCCTCTCTTTCTGTTAGGTTGATCAAAACCAACCGGCCTTCTCTGCTAGGCCTTGAGTAAGGGAATGTGGAGAGGGGTAACTCAGACCGTGCCCTCACACCTGCCTTTGCTGTGGAAACTGGGCCAGGGAGTTTAGGGAACTTACTCAGATCCGAAGGTCTACGCAGTGCCAGCCCTGTTACGACTGAGGCATCTTTTTGCCTGCCATTTCTGCCATCCTGCTGTGGCCTCTTAGGTTAACAACCGGGTTTCTCGCCCGGACCCAGCTGGCCATTGTCGAGGTAGATGGAGGCCCAGCTCCAGGTGCACACATCCCCAGCCCAGGTGTAGCCCCTTTGAAGCCCTTTAAAAGCCCTGCTTGCTTTGTGGGATGGGTTGGCTTTGGGGCAGTGGCAGG